AGCTGACAATATATATATATATACAGGAATATTTATGGAACATAAAAATTCATTACATTTCATGTAATTTTTAATTTCCTTTTCAATTATATACAAATTTATTTTACGATGTCAAGTAGAAAATAAAAAATTGTGGAGGTTAGGTTTCGGTGAGAACCCGTTGTGGCAGTAAAAACTCGTACAGGCCGCAAAACTTGGCATTACGGACATGCCGACTGGGACGGGGTCAGAGACTTCTTCTCTAGCTTTCCTTGGAGAGATGTCTGTTTCACTGACGCGGAAACGTCAGCTATCTGTTCTTCGTTACGCGAAATTATCCACGTCGGAATGGAGGAATACATCCCTCACACAGTAAAAGCGCCTAAGCCCGGGTCCAACGACTGGCTTGCGCGCCAGCAGAAGATCAAGCCACACAGAACCTTCTTACAAAACCCCACTGTAGAGAACAGACAAGCCGACGTCAAATCCAGAAACAAATATAACGAAGCGGCTCGCAATCTCAAAAACCAGCAGGATATAAAAGTTAGGCACAGGGTAATGTCGCCGCGCAATGGCAGTCGGTCTTCCTGGACGCTGGCCAAGCAGATTGGAAAGAACTTCTTACACAGTAGCCTCCCACCACATACGTGTCAGGATGGAACGATTGTATTCCACTCAAAGGCCAAGGCGGAAGTGCTAGCCAAGATCTTTGCTGCCAGCTTCACCATGGACATCCCCGCCCCCAACGCCCAAGTGCTGTCAATTCAAAGGGTTCCCTACATTGTGCGGGGGGTAACATTCAGGCATAAGAACGTAAGACGAGTACCCTTGTCGCTCGACATCAACAAAGCTTCTGGTCCGGACTTGATTCCTGCGATTGCACTGAAGAGGTGTGCAGTGAAGCTTGCTCCAGTTCTTTCGCGTCTCCTCCGAGTATCTTATGAATCCGGCACCTTCCCGGAAAACTGTAAATTTGATCATGTCCAATCTATCCCAAAAAGAGGATCTAAGACCGACCCTTACAACTACAGATCTGCAGCTCTGCTTTCTGTTATAAGTAAGGTGATGGAGAGGTGCATAAATCACGAGCTTCTGGACTACCTCGAACGTCACAGCTTGATTAACGACAGCTAGCTTACGTCACGCAGTTGTGGACTAAACTCATCTAGTTTTATAGTGAGGCTCATGTCGTTGCTCTTGACATCACGAAAGCGTTCGATCAGCTGTGGCACGCTGTTCTCTTAAGCAAACTTCCATCCTAAGGCCTCCCAGAAAAGCTTTGCAGATGGCTGACTGACTTTATCCCTGGCCGCAAGATATCCATCGTAACTGACGGGTTCTCCTCTTCATCCCACAACGTCAACGTGGGTGTTCCCCAGGGTTCGGTCTTGGCTCCGACACTGTATATCTTACACATCATCGACCTCCTTTCCTGCACGATCAACAAAATCCACAGATTCGCTGCTGACAGCACTCTACATGCAGGAATTCAGAGTGACAAGCCGATCTCTGCCGCTGAGCTGGAAAAAAGAAGACTAGCGACGACTTTCTCTCTGACAAGCGACATGGAGGCTATCACTGCTTGGGAACGCACCAATCTTGTACAGTTCAATCCTTCCAAAATACAGTACTGTACTTTGACGAACAAAAAGCGTCCTAGCGCTCATCTGGTTTCGATGAATGGCCGAGTTCTGCCAAAGAGCCATTCACTTCGGCCGGCCGGAGTCCAGATCACCGAGCACCTGATCTGGCACGAACACACCTCGTCAATAGCTGAAGCTGCTGGAAAAAAGCTAGGCTATTATTAGGCTAAAGAGTACTTTACTTACTGGCTGATACGACCGCTCCTTCGTTCCGAAGGTGTCGAGACTGTGGAACAATCTACAAGAAGAAGCTTTTTCCAGTTCTACTAACCTTAGGCAGTTCAAAAATCGTATTAACAAAATTTCTTTGGGATCATCATAGCAGCCGCGTTCCGGGATTTAGGCTTCTGTCTCTGCGGCTGCTTCGATATAAAAAAATTAATAATTTTCTCACTTAGCAAATATCACTGTTTTTATACACATACAGACCAACACACACAATCACCAGATGTTGCCAGTCTGCTACTCAACCGAACATCTTCTCAGACTATACTCTACAGTCTACAGATTATCACGGCATTGTGCAACCAACAAAGCATGATGGGAAGCTGACTTGCAGCTTGCAGCATGGTTATTGAGCGTATCGTGTCATTGAGACACAGCGCTCATAGCGAGTGAGCACGGAATGGTTTTTAGTTTTCTTACGTAACAGCCCTCCTGCCGGCTGACAAAGCGTTTATACCGCGATCATTGGACCGCCTTGACGAATAGAAAAAGCCGCGATCATTTGTGGCGCTGCAAGCTGTTATATAGCGTACAGCGGACAGTGTAAACTAACTATTGTTGCGCTATCTCTCAGAGTCTTATTATTACACGGAATCGCACAGTCCTGTGGTTAGCTACCCACGGTGTAAACATGGCCATAGCCATTTAATTTAATAAAGAAAATGTTCGTGGTGTCTTAGTTGTCACTCGTGTCATCTGTTGGTAAATGTCATGATTTAGGTTAACAAAATTATAAATGTATCAGCTAGAAAATGATGGCCTAGTAAAATGGAAAACTGCAACGAGCTTTGTAAATGTACTGAAATAGAACAAAGAGCCAAAACAGCAATCAAATCCTTATTCAACCCAATTTTTCACTTTCTATGTATCAGAGGCAACGAAACGCCAGATCCCAAGAAAATCAGGAGATCAAGAAAACGGACGAGGCGACGAGGAAGGGCAAGATTAAGATCGAAATCAATGCATTCTCGCTCAAGACATCGAAAAAGAAATCGTTCGAGAACGCCTAAATCAGGTTCTGATGCAAAAAAGTCCAAGCACGAGCATGCATGTCAGTGCATCCCTTGTGCAAGCTCAGGAACTGTGGAACCACTGGTTGCTAGTGAACAAGAAAAAGAAACTAGTTCGATATGGATTTCTGGTCAGATTTTGATGGAAAACTTGATATCTGCTACGGGTGTGCTTATACTTACAAAATTTTTGGAGATCTGGTAGATATCAGAACCATGTCTACTCATTTATTTAATTTGGTATGAATAGCCTACCGTACTTGTCACGGTACCAATAAATCAGATTGTTGAGAGTTAATTTAAAAGTGTCACTAGATAATTTTACTAAAAGGCTGCCAATAACTAATTTTCATAGTTTCACTTCCCACACTAGCGAGGAAGTATACTAATAGTCAAAGGTTTTGGAAATGAGTCATTATGTATGTTTGTCCGCTAATGATTGACACCCTTTTAACTCTACTACTACACCAAGTGTATCAATACTCAACATAGGATGTCTTGGTTGGAATATTACCATTGCTACGCCTTATATCATAGAACTGAGATCCAAGAAGCTTATAGAAAATAGGTTAGCCTAGAATCTAACAGAGCAACTATTATACAGGGTGTTTCAGAACTATGGGATCAAATTTGTAGGAGTGTAATAGTTGAAAACATTTGAGTATAGGGACCCATATCCGGAAAAGCGCTACTACGGCACTAGGTCCCTAAGACGCGTCAGTGCCAGATCGCATGTTGCCTCGATCGCCTAACCTATCTCCAATTGAACATATCTGGGACATGATAGGTCGCAGATTCTTGAATTTTTAACACCTTCGACAGACTTTATCAACTCTTACTAATGAAGTTTCAGTAACCTGGAATGAGATACTCCAACAGGATATTGACCACCTTATCAGCACGATGCCCAGGAGTGTCAATGAGCAAATATGAAATCGTGGATCCTCAACACATTATTGAACCAGCTTCTGCAGTCAGTTGACGATTCAAGCTGAAAATTTAATCATTTTACTAGTAAAGAACATTGAACATATATGCCAAAAATTATTAAAATCGAAAAAACGTACCTTTTTTGTCTCTCAGTGTATTATTTACTGAACTGGGAAGGGGCTCGTAGAGGGTTAGTTCAAACGGCGTTTTATAGCAAAATACACAAGTTTGCCTTGCCTATATGAATCGCAAACCATTCCGGAAGATAAATGTTATTTTTATGCAAAAAGCATGGGTTACGTTTTTTCTTCTAAACAAATTTAAACATTCGTATTTGTGAGTATTTCCCAAGAAAAGACGATAGACATGTCCGCGTAGTTTTAAAATATGTATAACAACGTATGTTTTTCGAACATCGTAGCCCATTTGTTCAATTACTTACAAATACGAAATGTTGATTTTGTTTAGAAGGAAAAAACGCAATCTTTGTTTTTCGCATTAAAATAGCATTTCTCTTTCGGAATGGTTTGTGATTCATATCGGCAAGGTAAACACGTGTATTTTATTATTAAATGCTTTTTGAACGATCCCTGTATATTGCTCAATAAACTACTAGTGATGGCCGGAAGGCAGGTGTTTTGGGATAAGCAATTAGAAATTCTCAAAAAAACTACTTGACCAATATACCTCAATTTTGTTGAACTTATTTAGAAGTATGAATCCTATGGATTTGAAGAATTTCAGGTAGTTGCGTGAAATTATCGTCGCATACCAGTAAGTGCCAAAACCTGCACTTTTCCTCGTTTTTCGGCCATAACAGTTTTGCTAGCAGTCGGATGTTTTTACGTATGGTCTCATTTTGTAGGTTTCATAAATGCCTAAAAAAGTTGCATGGAAAGTTTTTTCGTTTCTCTCAAGACTTCTAAATGAATCCCAAAAAACGGCTTTCCTCATTCTTTGTTGTCTAATTTCTCACAAAATTGGTGTACCCATTTTATGCGTCCATGTTTTAAATCCCCCTTGAACAACTTGCACCAATAAAACCAGACTTTACAGTTATTTCTAGGAAATTTGTTAATATGATTACACTACTAACTTACTTCTAGCAGCCGCGGTGTCTCGGCATTTAAGCTTCTGCCTGCGCGGCTGCTTCGGTATATAAAAAAAATTTAATGAACCGGCACGCCACCAATCAAAAAAGACTTGTTACACAGTTTCCTTGGAAACTACGTACGTCAGTAAAAAAATATCGAGCCCTTTTTGCATCGACGACTGTCAATCAAAATTCGCAGCAAAGGTGGCATAAATATACAAATTCCGAGTGAAAATGGACCAAAGCAGAGCTCGCTCTAGGAGTCGAAGTGCTCGCGGTGGCAGAACTCCCAGAAGGCAAAGCGTACCTCCAGACGTGAGAATCTCCAGGGCATCCATAAACCCTTTCCTCAACTTCCTGGCAGACTACAGAAAATCCAACACGCAGGGCTTAAGTATGAAGGACCTAGCCCAGAAAGGTGTGTACCAATGAAGAACAATTATCTGTTTTCAACAGTAGACTAACCTGATATACTTTGTATCTACTGACGTATCTGCGGTCTCTCCTAGTTACTAGGACGTATCTCATGCTGGCACATAAATTTCAGAAAAAAAGAGTAGTTCGAACTAATATACACATACAGTTGGGTGTAGTTTTTGATCATGAACTTAATTTTTCACTCCACACCTCAAAAGGTGAGTGAAGCTTCACACGCGTATGGTTTTATTGTGACAAACTGCACAAGCTTCAGCCATCCAGGGTCACTGTTGGTTTTATATTCTGCATAATGGAACATCTATCTATAATTTGGAACTCAATTTACAACTTCTACGTTGATTCTCTTGAGCATATTCAGATACGATTTATAAAATTTCAGTTTTTTAAAGTTGACGGTGGGTACCCTGAGTTTTAGAGCTAAGACGGAAGTGAGCGTCAATATTTTCTTGCATAAATGGTTGCACAATCCAATGTCCCATCTATTCAAAACCGTACGGTTAAAACCTTTTATTACAGGCCTCGCACAAATTTATTTTTGAGAGCACCCATATAATATGTAATTTGTGGAACTTTCACTGCAATACCTAATTGTTGTGATATACAGGGTGTTTCAGTTTATTGTTGCATAACTTTAAGATTCGATAGAACTTTTAAAATTATTGCATACAGTCTATATAAACATGGGCCGAAAAATGCGTGGCTTCCGAAACACAGGGTGTTTAGATTTACTTTTTAAAATAGTTTTTTTAAACATATCGAACAATATTTAATGTATAACAGTGAAAATTGGTATACAAGGGTTTTCTGGTACGACAAAACGAACCATGTGCATAGTTTTACTGTAGCCGCTAGAGGGCGCTCTCTACTGTACCTGTAGTGTATTAAAATGACAGAAAACTTTTTCTTAGAGCAATCTTTTGCTTTTTGAATAAAAAAACGGATTCTTCGCACTTTTCTGCATAAAAAAGCTCTCTTGTGAGTTTTCGTTATAGTTAGCCGTTTTTGAGGTATTTCGATTTTTAAGGTTCGATGCATTTTAAATTATTTATGGGAAAATAATATTTTTTTTACATTTTCGATTTGGGCATAACAAGTAATTAAGATGATCGTTTAGATTGTGTTTTTAAACACAGCAATAATTCCTAACTCCAAATAAACACAAAAAAACAGAATATTAATTTGTTTAATTTTCCAATATTATTTTTAACAAATTAAATTAATTATTTACAACTAAAATGCTATTGGATAGTTAGGACAAACATACAAAATCTAAAGTAGTCGCTCGAAATGTAAACCCAATTGTTCAATACATAATTCACATCTACGAATGATCGAACGTGGTATAGCATTATTCAAATAAGGCCTTATTTCATCACATGCATTCCTGATTCTGTCTATAAGCATATCTCTTGTGGTTACGGGAGTCTGGTACACTTTTTCTTTTAGAAATCCCCACACAAAGAAACCTAATGGATTTAGGTCAGGGGATCGCGGACTAGTCCTCCACGGCCGATCCATCTTTCCGGATAATTTTCGTCCAGCCAGTTTCTAACTATTCTCGAATAACGAGCTGGACAACCATCAAGCTAGAACCACGCCAATCTTCTTAAATCTAACATAGCATCATCCCACATATAGTCAACGCCAAACAAAGTGGCGTGCACGTCATCAAGGTGGGTGTGTTGAAAAATTTACATTGTTGCCAAACTTTTTGTAAAATAATAAAATTTATTATTTACATATCTAGGTTTATAAGCAATATTAACCTCAAATGAGAACAAAAATAATAGTATAATAAAATTATAGATCTGTACTTGCATAATCATTAAGTATGACAATTATTGATCAGATGACACTATGAAACTACCATATTTAATTGATAGCTTAAAGGTACTGAATAAAAATCCAAATGGGGTCCTCCAAATTTTATGCATGGTATTTATTTTACAGAATTCATACAGAAAAATGCATTCTAAAATTAGGTAAGCTACTGGTGTAAGCTTTTTCTGTACAATAAAGTTAGTCGGAGTTTCTTTCTTCAGCGCTGTCTGAATCTGAATCTTCATCACTCTCAAAGTTGATTATTAAAGGTTCGATGTCTGGTCGATCAAAAATTCGTTCTCTTTCATACCATTTAAAAATTTCTTGCTCAGTATGTCGAACACTATTTTTCCACATGTCTGGGGTAACCGTTTGTAGAGCCTCGTTCCACATATCCAAACAGTCTTTTTCACTGTTACCATCTCTACCAATATGTCTGTTATAGTAACCTTTTGCTATGCCCCAAATTAACTCAATAGGGTTAAATATACAATGGTAAGGAGGCAGACGAAGAACTTTGTGCCCATGTTGTTCCGCCAATTCATCAATCACGTATATTTTAGGTGGTTTGTTTCTAAAAAAGCAGTTATTTTAAGAATAGGAATAAACAAAAGAAATATAAACTGTCGACCAAAATATATATAATTAAGAAGCATTATGTACCGAGCAACAATACTCAATAGCTCTGTTTTAAACATTGTGTTTAAAAATGGTATGTTTTGATTTGTCAACCAGTCTTGGATATTTTTTTTTTGTCCATGCATTGTTGGGCACTTTATTCAATATCATGCTGTTGGGGCGTTATCCAGTATAATCATAGATGGACTCTCCAATTTTCTAATAACTGATGTTGAAACCATTTCAAAAAATTGTCCTGGTTCATCTCTCCATGGTAATCGCTCAATTTTGTTTTCGAAGAAATATCGCTTCACTACCCTCAATTAACCCATTTTCATTTCCAGCATGTAATATAATGTATCTAAAATATATTAGTTTTAAATTTTATCGTGCAAATTGTGTAAAAGTACATACCTTTTACCATCTGTTTAATAACTTTCACGCTTTTTTGGTTTCCATTTTGCCAACAGCGACCTATGGTCCCATTTTGAAATATCCAAGTTTCATCGAGGAAGACAAACTGGTATAAGGCCTCAACCTTGGCTTGATTGTATTGCCTTAGAAATTCCACCCTTTTCAAAGCTATACTTGGTAGTTCCATGAGCCCTCGTCGCGGATTGTCCTTAAGCCACTTAAATCCAAGATCTCTAAGCAACCGCCTTAAAGACGTGGCACTACCATCAAATAATGCCCTATCTCTTAATCGAGACCATAAAGTTTGTATCGTAACTTGTTCTTCTGAAACCATGTGTAATATGACATTATAATTTAGTTAACAAATTAATGCAAATTTCTGATAAGTTATTATAATAAGATCTTACTTTTGTGATACATATTGTAGATCACTTCTCGAATGGCACTTGTATCCAATGTTGCTGTGTTGGTTACACGTTTAATATAACTCCGCTTTTCTTGGGCGATTCTAAATTTGCATCACTTTTCACACCCTCGGAAATACGACTAACTGTCCTTAAACTAATTTTAAAGCAGCAGCAACACGCTACAAAAAATGAAATAAATTTCACTATTATTAATATACATTACATATAATTATTAGTAACCTACCTCTTGAACAGCATTTAAAGGCAACAAAGGCCCGTTGTTGTCCTTCTTGCTCAAAGTAGTGCATTAACGAGGCCACGAGTTCCTTACCACCGACTATCTAACTGTTTGGGCATCTTTATATACCAAATTGCCTTTATCTACTCGTAAAATGAATAATTTTGTTTTGAAACAAACAGTTGTTGATTTACAGTATGCGCGGCCAAAGGATTTATAAAGATTTGAAATGCCACAAATTGATTCAGTGTCAAAATTAATACAAATGTCAGTTCCCAGTTTAAATAAGTTTCAAGGTGACAATGTGTCAACGCTGCGAAATCGGTTTAGTGCGTTTACATGTCGATAAGTGATTGGAGCGTTTGCAAAACATTTTATTTCGCATAATGCGTCTAAATTTATCAGAAAGCAACTTATGTGATATTTTAATAACAATGTTTATATGACTATTAACCATAATAAGAGTAATGACCATTTTACAATTTATATATCACATTAATATGAAACTGCAATAGAGCAATTGTTTGTGATAGAAACCTAGGCATTAGGTCGGGGAATTTTTATCGTGATGACGTGCACGCCACTTTGTTTGGCGTTGACGATATTTGCATGTTCAGCCTTTATAAATTCCAAGAAGGTCGCAGCATTTAACCTTGTAGGCAACAGGTAGGGTCCAAATAGTCGATTACGGTAGATACCAATCCACACGTTCACACTAAATTCATGCTGAAAATTTCCCTTCCGAACTGCATGCGGATTTTCATGTGACCAAATATGTTGATTATGAAAATTACCACTCCACGTCTGGTGAAGCATGACTCATCGGTCCATGAAACGTTACTTAAAAACTCCCTATTATTATCAGTTCTATCAAGAAACCACTGACAAAATGTGATTCTTCATTCTCCGTCCCGTAGCTGTAGTCCTTGCACAGGTTGCAAATGGTAAGGACATCTATGGTCATTTCTAAGAACACGGTGTACATGGCTTGCTGAAATTCTCAAGGCACCAGAAACTCTCCTAACACTTGTGGTCGGATCTCTATCAAACTCACGCAGAATCATACGGGTAAATCTGCGCTGACGAACATTTATGTTTTGATTCCTTGGAGATTTCCAAACCATTTTCAATTATTTGGCGATGCACTCTTACAAATACTGAGCGAATTGGATGTCGCCTGTTTGGAAATCTTCGTGCATTCACAATTGCAATAAAACGTTTCAGGTTTCAACAGACAACAAAACTAACTGTGAATTAATTGACGTTTAACCTTATTCTGCTTTCAATTTCAAAAATATTTGCAGGCACAGCCTACTTCTAAAAATTATCGGGATACTGACTTTTTAACGTTATTTTATCATAAATAATTAAAAATGCATCGAACCTTAAAATCGAAATCTCTCAAAAACGGCTAACTATAACGAAAATTCACAAGAGAGCTTTTTTATGTTGAAAAGTGCGAAGAATCATTTTTTTTATTCAAAAAGCAAAAATTGCACTAAGAAAAAATGTTCGGTCATTTTAATACACTACAGGTACAGTAGAGAGCGCTCGCTAGCGGCTACAGTAAAACTATGCCCATGGTTCGTTTTGTCTTACCAAAAAACACTTGTATACCAATTTTCACTGTAATACATCAAACATTGTTCAAAATATTTAAAAGAAACTATTTTAGAAAGTAAATTTAAACACCCTGTATTTCGGAAGCCAGGCATTTTTAGACCCATGTTTATATAGACTTTATGCATTAATTTTAAAGGTTCTATCAAATCTTAAAGTTATGCAACAATAAACTGAAACACCCTGTATACTATACGCAAGAATTCTGGGAGTAGCTGGAAATTACTTAAATGATTTATGATATGTTTCTCACTTGAGTGAATTGTGTTTTTTGCCTGTTTTCTTGTTTGCTTTTGCCTTTAGATGGAATCACCATGTTCTTTGTTACAGGTGCTAAGCTGTGGAGGGAAATGTCTCAAAAGGAAAAAGAACCATACATTAGGATCTCCAAAGAAGCCCAAATCTACAGGAAGGCATCAAAGGGAAGAAGGAAGGGTAGGAAAAGTAGAAGGAGACGACGTGGAAGTAAAGACGATCACACTCAAGTTCAACTGAGGATGAAAGAAGTAGATATAGGCATAAGGAGCCATCCAAATCAGCTCGTGAGGAAGGTGATAGGAATTGTGAGGATACGGAGGTGAAGCCTTACAGTTCAAAGCAGAAGCATGACGAACCTGTAGAAGAGGTCAAACAGCCTGATGATGTATCGATAGATAACTTAATACATCCAAGAATTAGTTATGACAGTATAAGGAGAGATTACATCTAGGGTCATATCTTTGTGATAGTAATGTGATATCTCCAAGAGAATAAAATTTGCTATACAGTACCTATACATTTCATTTTGAACGTGCAGCTTTACCGACACTTTGTAGCCAAAACTAATAAAAAAAATATGTTTATGATGGATGTTTTGAGATATTTTTTTGTCCACAACCAGGCCGATTCTTGAGACGACTTTCCCGCAGTAGTGACCTTATATCAAAATTTAGCCTATGCCCGCAAGGTTACATGAGAAAACTATATAATGTCAAAAAGGCAGCAGCGGTGGCGTAGTGGTAGATGCTACGGTCTCCTAGTCAGTCGCCGTCCGCTACGCGGGTTCGAATCCCGTTCCAAGAGAATGCAAAATTTTTCAATAGTACACTTTAACTTGAAACTCAAGCTTTGTATATGTCTTCATAGTTAAATTGCCTGTAACTCGCTAGGAGAAAGTCTCCTTGATAATTCTTTGGGATGTAGGCAAAATATTGCAAAAGTACAATCTTCAACTTAAAACTCAAGCTTTCGATGGTCTACGCCATCATTATCACGAGCTAGAAAAAAATTGTAAATGGCAACAATAAGCAATAAGGAGAAATATCATTACTCACTAAGACGGCGAGATTGTTGCTGAAATTGCTCTTAGATGATAGTGGAAGAGTCCACATAGTCAACGAACAAATAGCTGGATTGATGAGGTTCAGTTGTGGAAAATTTTTATTATTAATTATTGGCAACCCACAGCCATGTTTTCTCCAAAAAAACAACAATGGATTTAGAAAAATTTTACGATTTATTAACTATTGAAGATTCTTTCGAAATTCCATCTTTTCTATAAACCTCTATATCTTCACCACATGCTAAGCTTGCCGACAGTGACGAGTGACGTGTGAGACTGACATTATTGACGTACGATCGATCAAAAGATCATACTGTTACATGTGTTGCCTACTTTATAGGGATTGCGTGAGCTATTAAGAGGAAGGTACGTTATAGTACAAGATGAAGCTTAAAAATTATTTCCAAAATTAATAAATGTTATTTTGGAAGGAATGTGTTCTCGATGTTGTCCTTCAACCGTGTTCCAGTCACCAGAAAGAAGCAGTTGAAGCATTCAATAATGCCGTTTTGGATCTGCCAGCAAACGAGTGGAATAAGCGTTTCGAAAATTGGTTTCGAGCGCATGCAGATGTGTATTAATCTTCATAGAGAATACTTCGAAAACAATAAGTCATTTAAGCTACCTACCGTGTTGTTTTTTCCATATGCAAAACTTAAAAGACATCCCTCGTAATTCTCCTGGAACATTTGTAATTGTAATTGAAAGCAAGTAAATATTATTATTATTATTTTGTCATACCATATTTTCGCCAAATTTGATCCCAGTGTGTTGAACCAATATTGGGATGTAATATTACAATCATCAAAAGGTCGATAGCTCTCTGATCAATTGGCTTAGAAACTGAATAGGTTTTGCTAGACATTTACATAACCCAGTGTCAAAATAGCATCCCCTTAACGGTTGACCCTCGCGATAACCGCATCATCCCTTCGCCATTTCCATGTTATCATTGCATGCGGGCGGTCGGTGGGCCTGGGCCCTTAGCCCTTACGCTTCGGACGCGGGTTTCTCCTCGCAGTGACGCGACATTTCCAGCCCTACGCCCCTATCTGACAGTCCGATAACGCCCTACTCGGGCCGCAGGGTGCGCCATTATCAGAAAATTATTAGGACGGCAATGCACGGTCCGACGGTCCTTGCAGGATCTATGGCTAATAGTGTAGGGTAACGAGACGGTAAGCTGGTTATACGACACTTCTGAGGTTGCAGAAGGGAGAAGGCTGACTGAATATTTGCCAAACGATGGATAAATGCCTTTTATTAAAAACAAATTCTTTGATAACATTAATAACTCTAATATTCGTAAGTTTGACAGATTGTTAAATGACACTAGAAAAACTTTGCTCAACACTCAACCAAACTGGATCAAGAATCTCTGTTATGTTGACATCCCTAATGACATTTTAAAATTTCTTTCCTTGGGGCCTAAGTTCAGTGTGGAGCCGATTGTGAACAACGACATTCCAATCAGATACATCTTAGCTGATGTAGACACAATAGCATCCTCCATAAGAGACCGAAAGAAACATTTTCACAACTCGTTCCACCAACCTCATCACTCATCTGGTTTTGCTGTCCTGCCCTATATCAAGGAACTGACCCCTAAGCTGATCAGATTATGAAGTCCGTTGAACTGTCGAATTGCTTGCCAATCCGTCCTCACTATAAACTGTATTTTTTCAAAGATAAAAGACAGAGTCCCGCTGCTTGGCTTAACCAACACGGTGTACTCTATCAATTCCAACAATTGCAACCAAATATACATAGGTCAGACCTCCAGATCTCTAAAAGGAAGGATTATCACACAAAAGTGGGCACTCTATGAACTACACAAGTCTCAAAGTCCTTGATGAAGAAAAACACCTATCCAAACGTTTATTCCTGGAAATGTCCCACATTTTCATGAATGACAACTGTATCGATAAGAAGACAGATGTTAAGCAAGTGAGCATCATTTACTCATATTTGCTAAACTGCGAAAAATTGGAGCACTTACACATCTCTCCAAATTTTGACTTTTCACGACCATAAATAGAATCTGTTTTTTGGTCTATTCCACCAGAAAATTCCATTCCATTCAAACCTGAATAATTGTTTTCTCATGATTAAATAATAACTGTTAATTCAAT